CTAAGCTTTCCTCATTGGTGCGGGTATGTGATATTGCTTTCCCATCCCAATATTTCATAGTTGGCTCTCACCCTTGAATATACCGTCAACCGATTGTGCTTAATCACGGCCTCCAACGTCCCTGTCCTACCGCTCATCGAGATTGGAAGCCCCTGTCGTCAAGTATCAACTCGGGAAACTTTTCGGAGTGTCTTTTCGGAGAAGGTTACAGTGTACTTCTTCAAACTCATATTATATTGTCATACAGGCTGCTAGTTTGCGCCTTTGCTTCACGTTTCCTTCCTACGTTGCGAACTTATGAGTTGAGATTTACTAGCTGGGATAATGGACTTTGTGGGTTTGGGAATGAAAAATGATGGATATCTGTATGTATGTATGTATGTATGTATGTATGTATAGAGGGTTTTATATATAATGTTGATGGCTATATCAGGTAAAGGGGGCTGTTGATCTACACAGGACAGAAGCGTGTACATGGAGTAATCAACTGGTAGATTCCGTGGAAGGAGCTACTAGTGGGTATACGGACTGACTGATGAGACACTTCTCGCTTCTCAATGTTCAAAGTGTATAACGGATTTATTGTTTGATTGTTTGATATTGAATTTGTCTTTTTCTTGTTTCATCTCTGATGGATTATTGGTGTAATTCGCAAGGTGTTTGGATTGAGATTCCAGGAGATGTTACGAAGACGACTTGATTTTAATTTCCGCCTCGAATGGAAGGAGGCCCTTTCTTACTTTGAAGCTTTATTTTGAAAGTTTCATCTGGAGGTGATGGATGATTATTGTCTAGATGGTGAAAAGGCATTTCCCATTTATCTTTCATTCTCTTCGATAAATATGTCTTTCGTCTTCTGAGCATCTTGTTTCATATTTGAGTAATTGTAATATCTAATGAAGGATATCTCTTCTTTGCTCTTTATGTGAGTAAGCAGGCAACATCGACCATCTGTAGTTCTCCCAGATTTATTTTTGTTTCGTAAAGATCACTCCTAATCTACGTTTATAATTATATCTGCGTCCATCTCCACCTCGACCTCGACCTCCACCACACAATCACTAGAATCCACGACGATTAGGAAAAGTGCTGCTGCTGCGCAAGATGGTTATCGTTTCCATATAATTAATATAGGCCGATGGCGAATATTCTATAAGCTCAGGAGATTGCAGCAGAGGCATTTGAAATCACAGCGGAGAAGCAGGACAGATGTATCGCGTTTACAGCAGTAAGTTAGCTCTATAGAATATAGAGTGTGAGTGAAAACTTTAGTGCTGATGTGGTGTAGGTTGCTTATGGGGAAGGGAGGTGCCACAACATTCTAAGCTTCGACAAATCGAGCTGGACCCTCAAGTTCAAGAGAGTGGGAGTTGATGGGTCTATGTCTAGATATCCGATAGTCCGGAATATTGGATATCCTGTCTGTGTCAGAGGATAATGTAGATCGTTTATTTTTCTATTTAATTGAATGTGTTGATATTGAGATAAAGTTTTATTCCGAACAAAGAGAAAGAATTATAAAGGATGGAGTAAGAAGTGGTGTGAGTATGTAATGAGAATACTTGAAGGAGATGAAGGAGATGAAGAAGGCATAAAGAAACAGTGGAGGGATTGGAACGAAGAGGAGATTGTTTAAGCATATATGGGTATTGGAAAATTATACCATCAATCTAAGGAGGGGAAGAGTGAAGATAAAGATCTTGCTGAGAAGTCGAGCAAGGTTCGGAGTGGCAGGAATGGAAAGCGGGTGAGAGTGAAAGAAGAGGGGGAGGGAGCGGGAGATGAAGATGCGGGCGGTGGTAACGTACAGTGTATCCAATAGTCCGACTGCAGTCTAATAACGTAAAGTTTTGAATGTCTAAAAGCAGTTTATTGTTGGATTGCAGTTCGGACCATTGAACACCCATAATGAAGCAGATGAATACGACACAGTCATGAGAAGTGACAGGAGAAGTAGGTGTAAGATTGTTAAAGCTAGAAGCGAAGGAGAGTGGGAAATTTTGAAACAAGGTGAGGCCGTCGATGATCTAAAGAGATCAACACCCCTGTAGTAGATCTCGGAATTCCTTTGCAGGCGGAGCGGAGTGTAGTGGATGAGGTGTTGCAAATCAAATTGAGCTGGAAAAATGGCGGGTATAAGTAATGTGAACAATGGGTATATGATATATATTAGAAGTAGATTGAGAGCTAGACACACAAGCTAAGAGCTGAGGATTGAGAGAACAATAAAATTCCTTGCTACTCGTTATTGCCTTTTTTCATATGCTATATACTCCAAGTAGTATTTTGATATGTGTTTAATGCTTATACTTATAATACTATAATTATACTAAATTACCTAGGAATACTTATCATAGACCAAACGCATCATCTTCCAACTTGTCATTGGGATCAACGTAGATCTATCTTGAACAGCTACGGTTGAGCCCCGCGATATCGCTACGACGACTTCAATCTTCTTCTTTGCACGAACTATCAGTTCTGCGACTATTGCCGTTATGGGGAATCCGGTTTCCCAAAACGAATTACAAATAAAAATAACATTCTGCACTACCCGCAGCTTTCGGACCTGCTATCGCTGTTGAACTGACAGAGGGTTCGGTGTTGAGAATATACATATATATATATCATATACTAAGAGAAATCTGGAATCGGTGGAATAATGATGAGAATGGGTTTAGAAGTTAGTAGTAATCATAATACCCTTCTTGACCGAAATATTTCTAACGGTTGGTCGAGGCCAGAAGAGATACTCCTTCGACTTATGTTAAAGTTTGGAATGAATCCACTCAGTAACGCGAGAATTCTACCGATAGGGAGGATGCGAGAAGAATAGAAAGATGAGAAATTGGGAGATAAATCTCCTGATAATAGGGATTACAATGCGATGTGAGGATTAAATATACTTGAATGTTGAATATAGGTGGAACATTTGTGTCGCTTCAGATACTAGCTGTATTTAAAATATTGAATTATTTCTAGACTTTGAAAGTTTGCATCACCATATTCCATTCGACGCCTTATGTCTTTCATACATGGCTATAAGTGAAGTAACATCTACTTGAGTTTGTGTTTTAGATTTAGTGAGAGATCGAATATTGCGGCGTGAAGAATATCAGGAATCGTGTAAGGAGTTGAACTTGGAAGCTGAGAATGAGTTAGTTAGGTGGTGTGCTGAGAATAGTGTTGTTATAGGGGGATGGCTTCAAAAGAGTGTAGTATCGCAGTGGGGTGGTGTTCTTAGAGAAGGATATTACATGGTTATAACAGCGTGAGGGAATGATGTTCTAAAGCCGTAATGCCATGAGAATATGATGTCTTGAATGGATGATGTCCTAAGGAAATAGTATCTTTAGCGGACAGAATCGTAAGTAGATGGTGTACTGAGAGTATAAATAATAAGAGTGTAGTGTCAGAAGCGAATAACGATATCCACTGCACCGTCTATATGGTAACAAATCACTAAAACTAGACAACATAGTATTGGTATGTTTATATCAATATCAAAATAACTCCATGTCCTTTAACTCGAGGTTAGATTACAATATCGTGTTAGCAAATAGACGAGGTAGAATAGGTTTCCCGATATAACCCAATGTCTAAATCCATGAGTCCATCAATCAATGGCACAACGAGTTGAGTACCCTTACCCCCTCATGCCCTAGAGTACTTCATTTCAAATTCCCTAGAGTTATTACTTTCCACCTACGACACAGATACATTCAGGATTTGCAACCTCATGTGCCCTATCGAATTTCCGTCATCTGTGTCTCCAGTGTATCTAGTAATCATGCCAATCATTACGATAATGTTCCCAAGACATCTAAATATACTACTTGAGCCCTCCTTGGAAATTCTGATTTAGCTCTATGTGTAAGTCATGTTCAGTATTAATATAGTAATCCAAGAGGACCTCCGATTTCACCGATACTTTTGGCATCCGTGTTCGACGGAACGGAGGAGGTGAGATAATAACTATTTGTTGGGCTGGTATCGAATCACGAAGAATGGGTTTGACTACATAACTATTCTTCGTAGGACGATGAGCAATTGACATTATAGAACTCGTTCCTGTTTAGTTCGAAGGATATCTAGACGAGGCATTCGAGTAGAAAGTCTTCGATAGCGTAGAGAGAGGAGGAATGGAAATGGATAAAAAGCTCGAGATAAAGTGAATCATAAAGAACAGCTATTGTAAAAATGTCGATTGAAAAGAGCTGGCCGTCTTTAGGGGTCTCAACAGTACTACTAGAAAGGAGGGAAGATGGTAACGAACTTGACATCCGAGATACAAGTGAGTGAACAGTACGGAATGTCCCGAGAGCTTACGAATAATGAGAGAACTTCTGATCCATCAACAATGTACCGGATAGACGAGATTATGAGTTTCATGCATGGGGATGTTAAGTCAAAATACCCAGTGGAAAGTATGTGCCCTTAGAGTTGCGCTCCTATGAGCTCCTATGAGCCCCGAGATGACGACTAAACATTCTTGGCCTCTTGATACAAGAAGAAAATGAGACACACCTGCTCGAGGCTTAGTAGGGAGAGCGACTTAGTTACTCATACTCCTATAAGACCCCCACGACCGCATCTAACTCCCTATCCACACTGGTGTGCCTGGGTCGCTCTTTCTTCATAATGCAGAATGTCAATCACGAACTCCATCAAATAACAAGGTGGTGTGGTGTAATGGTAGCACGTGGTGTTGTGGTTTCTCCTCTCAGGGTCTTCACGAAGTCGAGTCATTACAGACTCATACATTCCCGCTTCAATCTGGGTTCGATTCCCAGCACCGCCAATGAATTGATATTTTGCTCTTCTTATTGTGTTTTGAGGTTGTTGCGATGTTTTTTTGGTGGTTGTAGAGAAGATTTTGGAGAGAGTAAGTGTAGTCACGTGAATCAAGTTTTTTTTTTGGGTCGGGTGAAGAATTTTGGTGGGGGTTTTAAATAATTGTTAGGTAATTCCGAGAAAAAGATCATCCACTTGATTCGGTACTAAGGAGAAAAGGGTAGAAACTCAGAATGTGGAACACGGAATAGAGGGCGAGAATGGGCGCAGTTCATGAACTACAAATAAACTTTCAATGGTGTTGATTGGGGTCGAATATTCCAAGAAAGGTATGCTCGTTGCTCACTGATCCATGCAGCTTACCGACTTCTTGACAAGACTAAACAAAGAGCTTTGGATATGTACAAGCTCAAAAACATTCATCATGTATTTCGCACCACTTTCACCAAGAATGTGAATACGTCCTCAAATAGACGCGCTGACTTTGACAGCTGGTCCCGAACCGAGATTCGTGAATTTCGAGTCAGTCATCATTCGTGTTCCTCCATATTTGTTTTCGGTTCAAATTGATCAGGTATTGATTGCCATTCATGACTACTACCAACGGGCCGAAAGATCAGTGAGCGCTGAGGAAGGAAGAAAGATGCAAGACAAAAAATTGAAAGACAGCATGAGTGGTGGGGCTGGCCAAGTGTAGCTCCACTAACTAAATGGAGCTGGAGCTTGAGCTTGGGCTTGGGCTAGGGTTACGACTCTAGGAGACCCAGAAAATGTGATGCCGATATTATGACATAACTATAAGACATTTGAGTATTCCCAGATTGTTCATTGATCGGATCTTGGATGAAGGTACAGACAGCTGTTATGATGTATGATCTAAAAGGTCGGATCAATTCATGAACAGAAAGGAGGTCAAATTCTGGAATTGGAAGTGATGCAAGACTGGCGGCGAGACAGACAGTGCACTCGATTGAAATTTTTGCTCGAGCTCAGTTGCGCTGGCAAAAAAAAAATAAGTGTTTGCATTGTCTCCACTGCCCACCGTGATTGAAATTTTCGCGACCGAGCAACTGTAAAACATTGGAATGCGAACGAAATGGAAATTTGAATTGCCACATCACTTTGCGCTCCATTGCGCTCCATCAATCGCTTTGAAGTTTGAACAACGAATAGGCGGTGTATTGAAATCTCAAAGTCAACATCTAGTAGTCAGATTCTAATGCGGATCCGACTTGTTTAGGATTCAATTGTGTTGAATGTCGAAAAGGCAGAGACTTTTGTAGAAAAATAACTTTGCGCTTGAAAAGTTTCGTGTACAGATAGACACAGACAAAGGGAAGTGGTAGGATGTTCTATTTGGTGGGACCGTAGGATCGATCCTAATTTGGCGGCGGGGTCATGATATTGTGAGATTGTGAATTGTGAATTGTGAATTGTAAATAGTAAATAGTAAATAGTAAATAGTAAATCCGCATCGCCCTACTCCATACATGGATGTGAAGATCACGTTCGGACTGCCACCCGAGCTGAGATGTCTCGGGGACCCTTTCCTTCGGTTCCTTGCCGCAACGTTATCGTTATCTGGATGTGGACGGATAAATGGATCTTGGATAGATAGATATCGGTTCACACGATCTGATGAGGCTGTACCCTTTCTCTGGAAGGGGTGTTTAATATCGTGGGAAAATGATTGGAAACTGGAGGGGCAGGAAAAAAGCTTCTAGCTTACAACAATCAATACTCCGGGTTGAAATTTAAGAGAATGGCTCGAGAATGGATAGGCAGGTGAAAGCCGATAGGAAAAGGAGTTATGAGCTGATCCTTGACCACCTGAAGGATTGGATCTAGATGAATGGTTCGTTCAATTACCGAAGGAAGTGAAATTAAGTTTTTTAAACTTTTACCAGCCACGGGAATGAAGAGTGGTGGAAGAGGAGATGGCCGAACGACGACAGGATTTACCTAGGCACGCATTCAAATAGAACTATCAAGTGTCAAGTATTAAGTATTCAATAGCGCGAAAGCTGTGTGATATCTACTAGGTAGTCAACTTCCTGGCTCAAAGTACGGAAAGCATAGAAATGAGAGGTCCAAGAGGTTTGTGTGATACAATTAGCTGATTTGGAGGAAATGAAGGAGGTTGAGAGGAAATGAAGTTGCGGATGATCATGAAATCAATGCCTAGGGACCTACTCCGTATACCTATCCTTTGTGTTCTCTTGGAATCCCATATTCTCTGTTGCGTCGCCGAACATTTCCAATTAGATTTCACCTACAGGAATACACCTCCTAGAAGCTTCCATCGATATCGACATCAACCGTGAACATCAAATATCAAATATTTTCTTCTCGACTTCCTTCAGCTCAACATGGACATTCGAACCACTTAATTCAATGAGCCAGGATTGATCCTTGATTTCGTGGGGAACTTGTATTCTTTTCGTTGGTCAAAGCCGGTATAGTGGCCTAATAATATTGAGTCGCCGTGACCTTCCTTTCCTTGCTTTAGTGGTGTCTCGAGTCTCGACTTTGTAGTAATTGCAAAAGATGGGAAGTGCAGATCATCCCCGGTTGGTATCCCAGCCTCTCTGTGGACCCTGAAATAAGATTTGACCTGGGTCGTGAAGCTTGGATATTAATTTGGATATGAATGAAAAGATGGAAAGTTTGGAGGGAAGATCTGACTCTCGATCACAGATAGACGTCACGACTCACCATAGTATTTGAGAAGCGCGCAAAAACAATTGACTTTGTTTTTCGATATGATTGATTTGTTTATGAACCCGAATTGAGCCCCCATGACAAATTGATGAAATAAGAGAAGAGAAATGTACAGAGTATTACCAGAGTATTACCAAGTAACAGAAACACATTCCCACTTTTCTTTGCCAGCGAAGCACGAAAGCACTGTTGGGAAACTTGGTTTTGGATGATGGTTACTAGGCAAATCGTCACAGTGATTTACACACTTTTGGGCACAGCGTACGCATATCGATGCAAAAGAGCAGCATCTGTGTAACGATGACTGGTAAGATGATTAGCTTGCGAATGCCAAAATGTACCTAATTTGACTTTGGGCGGATGATCGAAAAAGCATGAAATTAAACATGGAAGATCTGGGGATGGGATGGAAGGTAAAGTTTACCCGACCCGTATCGTATCGAATGGCATGACATGAGAAACATTTGATTGTCCATGCAGTATCACCAATATCACCAATATCACCAATGTCACCCACCCATCTCATCAACATTAATATCAGCCACACTGTCCGTGATGTCAGAAAGGACTAGACGAATGCGCCACGCCACGCCACATCTGTTTTCGACCTTACTTGCATCGATAGCTGGGTGCCAGGGAAGAAAACCAAGCTTGGAATTTCTTTTTCCCTCCTCTTCCTTGTCAACAAATGCGGAGAAATTTACCAACGATTTCTTGGAACTTGACATGTACCCAATGCCCATGCACCTGTATCTGCAAGCGAGCGAAAGTTGGACAACTTCTCTCCCCAAAATCCCGTCCTGGTGTGCATACAAGGAAAATCATATTTCCAGCCATCTTCTAGAGAATTCGTGGCTGGTATCCTCCACTTCGGATGATGCTACTGGTCCTCTGCGGTCCTCTGCAGTGAATGAAGTAAAGATGCATCAACTAGTGCAATCCAAACGGTACGTACATGGGAGAGTTCACAAATCGGTGAGAGTTTCCAAGCTTTGGGGAATCGACATGGCCAGCGTAGACGGACTTGTTGGCAAAATGACCCTCACAAAGTATAATCTTCATTCATACTGGAATATTCGGATGAAAAGGCACACTGAGGCCCACAGACTGTTCCCCAAGGGGTAATAATTGCAAGAATTTGAATCGATAAACATTGCATCGTCGGTAAGGTTATGCTTGAGTTGCAATAATTGAAATTAGATGATGGTTATACAGCTTCAATTGGTAATTAGTTTTGATACATCCAAACCGTCTACTCTGTACCCAGGGATCGTGTCAAAGCGAATCAATTCTATTTACCTACCTAAGCATCTTTATCCAGGAGGAACTAACCGGAGATGGACTAGATCTACCTCATTAACTCGATTGTGAATTAGTCAATTGGTTGGTTGAGCGAGCTAACAATCATGCCCAGCTTCGAAGAGACTGATGGCAAATTGGGTACCTTACCTTAGCTTGATTTTCATGGATCTGGATTTCCCTTTCGTCACTCTTTCCCATCTCAGCTAATTTCTTAACCCAAGCAAGAAGGGAAAAAATCAAGCTTCACTCACTCATGATAGTCAAGGCTCAATATTCACTCTGACTTCACTTTGGTTTTTCATGGTCCTTCCTCGTTTGTGGAAATTTATAATAAGATTCACTTCCCACCCCAACTTACTTTCAAACCAGTTCACTTTTGTATAAACAGAGAAAAAACCTTCGTCCATCATCCATCTTCAAAGTAAAAGATAAATAACTTCTAATCACCATCTCAATCGATCAAATCTTTTCGAAAGACCAACAACCCTCTTCAATCTCCAAGATTCTATAATACAATTTACGAAGTATACTTCTTCCACCCACAATAATCAATATGAAGTCCTCAGTTATCCTCGCCATCAGCGCTTTCGCAGCTGCTTCCGTCGCTCAATCCCTTACCGATCTTCCATCATGTGGTGTAAGTATTTAATTCTAGTTACGATATGCTCATGTCGTCGCCATCAAATTGCATGCGCTCCGTGCAACTCGATGGCGACTTTTTTCTCTTCCATATGCAACGACTAATCTTATTTCCTCTATAGCAAACCTGTATCAGCAACATGCTCGCTCAAGCTCAAGGTCTTGGATGCTCTTCCCCTGATGCTGCCTGTCTCTGCACCAAGCCAGACTTCGCCTATGGTATCCGTGATTGCTCCAATGCCGCATGTGGTACTGAAGCTGCTGTGTCCGTCATCGCCTATGGCCAAAGCTACTGCGCAGGTATGATATTCCTGATTTCAACTTTCAATTTGATATTGTCCTAACACTCAATAGCTGTCTCTTCTACTGGTTCCGCCGAGTCATCCACCTTGGCTACCTCCACCGCCTCTGCTTCTGGCAGTGGTTCAGCTGAGTCATCTGTAAGTTTTATTCATTCTTTCTCTTTATGGCATGACGTCAATTTCTATCTGTGGGGTTTCTGGTGGTCATTCCCTGAATATTTCCAACGACAAAGAAAATTGCGCGTTCATAAACAGATTGATTACAACAATGATATCATTGTCAAGTGAATTTGAACATTTACTAACAAAATTTAATAGGCTGCTGCCAGCTCTTCCGCCATCACCACCTCTGCTCTCCTTGCAACCGTTACCTCTGGATCTGAGACCATCACAACCACCATTGGTTCCACTACAATCTACGGTGCCGGCGGTATTGCTGTTGTATCCTCCACTCCAATCTCCACCGAAGCTGTCGTCTCCACCATCACCAGTGGTGATTCTACCTTCGAGTCTACTGTTGGATCTTCCACCATTTACAGCACCCCAAGCCCAACTGACAGCGGTATCTCCTCTGCCATCACCACCTCTGCTATCGTCTCCACCGTCACCAGCGATTCCTCCACTTTTGAGACCACTGTAGGATCTACCACCATCTCTGGTATTGGAGCTGTTGCCAGCGTTTCTTCCGAGGCTGCTTCCTCCGCTTCTGCTATCTCATCCAGCGCCGGATCTGCTATCTCTTCTATCGAATCCTCTGCCTCATCTGCCGCCTCTAGCTTGGCTTCAGGTGCTTCCAGCGCAGCTTCATCTGCCACCAGCAGAGCCTCTTCCGCCACCTCTGCCGCTGGTAGCGCTGCATCATCCGCCACCTCATCCGCCATGGGTTCCCTCCCAACTGGTGCTACTGGTTTGATGGCCGCTGCTGGTCTCGCTGCTCTTTTCTTGTAAACAACTCCATGATGTTCATTTCCTTATCTTCTTGATATGGCAATGCATCTGAAGGTGAATATAATGGAATTTGAGTGTAGTTGAACTCGCAACGATACCCTTCTCTTATTTTTTCGATTCTTGATCATACTATTTTACAATTTCTTTCTTTAACTTTTGACGACTTTCA